AATGTTAAGATGTACAACTACACGATTCTTTCACTTGAACTTTTACTAACACTGAAATTAAGTAGGGGAAAGGAAACCGGCACACTTACATCAATATCCGCCAGTTTTAGGTAAAAGATAAGTCACCCGCATCAGTGTCACCGTGTGAGAGTGCTAGATCGTCCTTCATTCATGTGTCTACCGTAATTTAAGGGACACTTTAATAAAAACAGCGCTGATTGATCCAAAGGTGATTAAGAGATCGGAATAAGTAAACAAGTAAATTGGAGATTCGTCGTTCCAAACCTGAGAGATAGATGACTCTAAGGTAGGTTCCTAAAGGTTCAATCAACTATAGATGAGTGGATTTGTATACAGGCGGAAGAGGGAGAACAAATAAATATGGGACAGATGATTGATGGATGCTAAGTTTTGGGTATTAAAAAGATAAGAGGAACAAAGTGTCGTAAAGTCGTGCTGTGGAAGAACTAGATGAAAGCTCACAGTTCTAGGCTGTTTGATTACTAGGCTCATTAAATAGAAGTACCCAAAAATCCAAAAACAAGTCGTTTTGGGGTCGCAGGCAGCCACAAAATGCAAGAAGGCATTCAAAAAACATTGGTCAAACGCAAATCTGTTCCTCCAATGGCATTAGAAAGAGTATAGGTAACAAGAACTTTATACTTAATTATGCTGCAGTTCCATTCTTGCACATAGTGACAAGAACTCTGTGCCGTTATAATTGGTCCAATCGGGCCACCAACTGGCATTTGGTAAGTAGCATACCCAAGCTTTGCATCTCGTCCTGTTTTCAACACCCATTCCTGACATTTTCATTGCGCAGTGCAAGAAAACAATAAAACTGGTCTTTCTACGTTTACAGTAGGATGACATCAAGCAGCCATTATGGAAGCAAGTTCCCCATTTCAAAGACATGTGTGGTTGCATGGTTGGCTATTGCTGGGAACTCGCCCCGTAAAGGGGAACCATCAGCTGTAATTTAGAGGTTTTTTATTCTTTTCAGTAGCTTCACAGGAAAGATTGTCTT